AAAAAATGTGGTTCCATCATTGCGCACCCTTTGGCTGATATTATCAACAAATTTTCACGACTAGCTCTTACCCTGACTTACTCAAAATAGCAAAAGTGATTCCAATATTTAAAAAAGGAGACAAACTAAAACCAGAGAACTATTGACCAATCGCCTTACTTCCTGTCATTACAAAAGTGATTGAAAAACTTCTACTAAAGCGACTGAACCTGTTCTTCTCTGAAAATAATTTGATCACTCCGTCACAATATGGATTTCTTAAAGGGAAATCAACAAAACTCGCGTTATTAAATATGGTAGAGAAAACAAAGCAAAATATTGAAATGAAGTTATTAACAATGGGAATCTTTGTAGACCTAACAAAAGCGTTTGACCTAATTAACCATGCACTTTTACTGCAGAAATTAAGTGCTTACGGGGTTCGTGGTGTTGCTCTCAATCTAATCGAAAGTTATCTATCAAACAGATGCCAATTTGTCACTTTAGATGGCACTATTTCAACAACTAAACCTATTGCCATCGGTGTTCCGCAAGGCTCAATATTAGGTCCCTTTCTTTTTTTAATATATATTAATGACCTGGCAGCCTATTTACAAAAAGATTGTGTTCTTTATGCCGACGATACAAATATTTTTATATCTAATGCAAGCGTGACAGAACTATACATGGAAGCTAATAACACTTTAGAAAAGCTAGCTAAATGGCTAACCCATAACAAGTTAGTTCCCAATATAGCGAAAACAAACTACATAATTTTTGCCCCGAAAAACAAACTAATTTTAAACACACCTCAGCTTTCGTTTGCAAGTATTAACCTAACTCGAGTGTACCATACTAAATTTTTAGGACTAACACTTGACCATCAGTTAACATGGCACCAACACGTAAAAGACACGACTAATAAGATATATCGAAATATACCAATTCTATATAAACTACGGCACATATTTTCCTTACGAACCATCCAAATGCTTTATCATAGCTTCATTCATACTCACATTTCGTACGGGTTACCCATTTATGGATTGACATATAAAACAACACTAAAAACCATAGAAATCGCCCAGAACACGGCACTACGAGCAATGCTGTTTGTGAATAGGCGCGAAAGTGCTAAATTTGCATACCGCTTCCTCAACATTTTAACAGTTCATCAATGCCTCGATTATCGTGTAGCATTATTAACATTTAAGTTCATCACCAATCAGATAACATGCTCTTCAATTAGTTTTACTCATCAAGATGTCATGGTATCCTCTGCGTTCACATTCACAACCGTCACTGTCTGTACCATGCATACGAACTAATTATGATGCGTTCACCTTCATTTACATTGCTACTAAAACGTGGAACTCTCTACCACCCTGCCTAACTGCCATGTCATCATTCTATATCTTTAAACAAGCCATACGTGCACACATACTATCTGCATGATTCATCAACCATTTCTATGCCCCTCCCCCCTCCCCCCCCCGATTCATTCTTCTCTCCTAGGCACACCTTTCACACAATCACACACACACACACACACAAACACACTGATATTGTCCTTTTTTCTCGACTTTCTAGCTTTTCTTCTCTCTCTTTTCACTTGGTTTGATATTTTGATTATGTAGGTACCACAATTGTTTCGTTTTTTTTCTGTCTTTTTTATTTTATATATAATGGTGTTAACTTGATCGCTGACTAACCCTTTATTACCAAGGGGTCCCTTCAACAGTTTTCTTTTGAAAACTTTGGGACTGCGTCTGAATAAGTGTAATTATCTAACATCTTGTGTACAAATAAAAACACATTTTGACTTGACTTGACTTGTAGTACCCTAGAAGAAGCATCATATAGCAGTAGATTTGTCGGGTGCATTATGTAAACTTTTTGAATTTATGCGTGTTGTATTATACACACTGTTATTGTCAGTGGAACTAGATGAACCGTCCAATATAAATCAACAATTAGTTACATATATCAGTTAAAAGGGACAAACGTCTTTGGGCTGAGAGACCATTCCAATAATCGCCCACTGCTCTTTACCGTTTTTGTATATTGAGTTGCGTTAGGCATTCTGAACATGTGTTGTTGCAACTCTTCCTAAATATCACGTAGCTCTCATATGCGAGATATCAGACGCCGCGTATGCTTCAACATGTCAGTGACTCAGCATTTTCTGCCCGGGTGATGAACGCTGTAAAAATAAATACCGTCAGAGAAGCAAAGGAAAACGAGTCCTCTCTCCCAGCCATGGCCTCCAGATTCTCCTTGAACGTCGGAATCCGTCCACTTCTTGATCCATATCAATTGCCACGCTAACGCAACGCCGCTTCCCAAGAAGAACAGGAGTGCTAGAGGCGCATACACTCCGTAGAGGCGCACCAGGGACCTGGCTACCTCCAGCGCACTCTGAAAATATATAGATGGCTAAAGTAAGCACTGGAAAAAGCATTGCCTGCAATAATTCAGTCTTGAAAATGTCTGGTGTAAGATCGAAAATGTATGAACCTGATTTTTGTCATAGTTTGTTTATTCCATTATATGTGACGTGTTCGTGCTGTGGGCGTTCATTTAGCATGAAGGAGAATCCTGAGTCAAGATAGACTTATTTATGCGTTTTAGTGCACAGAAGTGAATCAAATTCTTTATCACAAACAGAAAACGTTTCGGGCATTATTGCTTGCACTAAAGTTTTCTTGTGCACGGCTATCACTTGTCGGTTAAACCTGACCAGTTTGTATGCATATGGGTCTTGGCAGTAACGTCTACATTTGGAAGGTCTTAAATTTATATAAATATATGGTAGGGCAAATTTTGTATGATTATACCTTGGAAACAAGCATTGAACTGCATATAACATTGACCAGTATATAATGCGATCAAGACAGGACATTAACGCCGAATATTTTTTCATCGCTTATTAATTTTGCGTTGGTAGCAGCGGGCAGCGAGCCGGGCATGACTGGAGAGACAGCGGTCATCCGCTGGCTGGCCAGAATGTCACCATGGATAAAATCTGGAGCAGAGGCCGGGACTTGGAGACCCCCGGTACAAAGGCTGTTAGAAATCCCGAGGCTGGCCCCAAAATCTGCCGGAAAATTGGCGCCAGCATGCAGCAATCTAAAAATTTCGCCGAAGGTGCATTTTAGCGGTGCATTGCACCTTATAAAATTTGGAAAAAAGCAAATTTGTATGTCGACGTAGATGACCAACCAAGCGAAAATTAGGCTTTTACCGCCATCTCACTATAGGCGCAGCTAGCAGACGACGAGGTTGTATGGTTTGGGCTGAGTTGGTCGTTTGTTCTCTGCACCTATGAGGAGATGTCTCCACAAGCCCTATTCTTGAAGATTGCAAACTCGATTGCGCGTCGTCCGCCGTTAAGCCTCACGAGCTTGCTTCAAGTTCTTTAACCGTCTTGAATCCTTTGCGAAATAATCGAACGTGTAACTTCCCTAATACAACTGAAGTTACGCTATGTTTCTACCGCGTGTTTCACTTCTGCTGACCAGTCATAGATAGAGGCTTTCCTTCTTCCTTGGCAAATAATTATCTAAACGAAGTAACGGTCTCGTGGCAAACTAGGAAAAATTTATCAAGAACCTGACACTTACATTCCTCCTGCCGACCTGCCCAACTTCCGTAATAAATATTATTTCGATGATATGTCGAAAAACTTTATTAAAATCAGAATCTGAACATTATGTGATCTACCTTAAAAGACGCTTTGTCAATGCACTAAAAATATTTGAACGGCTTTTGCGACCTTGATTTCCACTGTTTCTTTTATATCACTCATTAGGCCTATCTACGTTATACTTACCTTAGATGATGTCGTGACTTCGTCCACCGTAAGTTTCCCTTTTGGTCCATTGGCCTCCATGGTATTCCTGCCATCCCAGGTGTAAAACCAGTATATATAGTCATTTATTTAAGGCACTTTCTTTACAATCATTATAACTAGGATGTGTATTTTCCGGTTTTAACCGAAAAACACCGATAAACATCCGTCGGTGAAGAAAATATAAAATCGGTTAAAACCGAAAATCACCGGTGGTTGGATTTTTTCGTTCTGGTTAAAACGGAAAAACACCGGTTGTGGCATGATTCCGACCTAGCGAAACCTTTTCCCCGTAGAGGTTCGTCAAACATGTTATCTCGTGGATCCTGCATCCTTCCAGTGTTTATACATGGCTTGCGCATAGCGTCAGTCCGCCCTCCTTTCTGGGGGTCAAAAGCGTCTAGTGAACGCAGTGGAAGCTAAGCTCTCACACGCCTTTCCCCTATTGTGTCTCCCATGGCCCCCTTCTGTTGAAAAATTAACGCGGTGGAGGGTGGGCTCTCTCGTGCCCTTTCCCCATTGTGTCTGGCCAAGTGATGTCGGTGAAAGCCACGTATTCAGAGGTTGCTGTGATTCCTGGAAGACACTGCCAACGTCCGTGTCATACAGGAGCGTGCGTTTTCATAATTGTGGGTTGTGAACCGCAAGCAACCTGCTGCCATGACGGATGCAAGCCTCTCAAAGTATGCTTGCATCTACTATAATAACCAAGTGTGAGAAAAAGATGCTTCCTAAAAAAGAAGTGTATGAAATATGTGAATAAAATTGGAACTCTCTGTCTGTGATCAATCGCATTTTTTTCCACCGATAATCACCGATTTTAGCCTTGTCGTGAGACGTTCCACCGAAATACGCCGGTGTTTTGAAAATAAATAAACACCGAAAAACATCCGCCGATTTTTCTCACAAATAAACAGCGGAAAGTACACACCCTAAAACTAAGGTACCTATTGGGTGACGGAGTGTGATAGAATAGTCTACATAAGCAGCGGAACAAAAAAAGAGCAAATCAATTTTAACGTTTACTGTTTGCTTAGTTATAGAATAGAGTAAATACGCTTATGTACGTTTTTACTCAAGTGATGTGCCCATACTGCACTTTGAAGTATATTTTTCGCCGCAGCTTCTTAAAAACAAGTGTATTCTCAATGCAACGCATGAGCGATCATACCTTGACTCAGACGATTGGTTAGATGTAATATGCGTGTCTCGAGTTTTATTCTTTATGGAGTTCCGGTGACGAGCAACCAGCTGTGTGGCATTTGGGTAGCAAGTAATTTGGTTATTGTGCATGAGTAATAATTGGTCCACGTTCCTTAACAAGCTGCCCTTGCTGGTAACTAAAATTCGGGTCTGTGGGAAAAAAACAATTGATTGTTAAATGCAAAAGCAGGGACTTGTGAAAGGTAACAACAATCATATTTAGCTTAGTTTATCTCAAGATTTATAAAATGTTCTATATATAGGTAAAAAGTTACGACCAAGATTTTTTCTTTTTTTTATAATATGAAATGTCTACACATTACGTTTGCTTTTAATTCAAACAGATTTATTACACGAAAATTCGTGAGAGGCACGCAGATGCAGTTTGTGCAGGTGAGTTATACGACCAGGGGGACATAATATAGGGTGCCGAGACTCACGACTATTTAAAAATTTAATTAAACTTTCTAAATTAACTTTTTATTAGTGAAGATAAATATATGCTTCCAATTAGAAATTTCCTGAGCGTTATAGATAACAACTAAATTAGTCGACTTTAGATAGATTTGAAGCACGTGAGAAGCGCGGGATTGCACAAACCACACCACTCGTCCAGCATGCGCAAAGCTAGCGCTGGGAGAACTTGGATGAAAATCGAATCATCTGCATTTCCCAATTACTAGGCTTGCGCCCGTTGCCCGAGTGGCTTGTTTAATGCTCCCCCGAGCTTCTGACGTGCTTCAAGTCGTTCTAAAATGGACTGATTTAGTGGTCTCAAAATGACGCTCAGCAAGTGTGGAATTGGAACGATATACTTATTTTCCCAAATTATGATGTTAATTTATATATTTTCATTATGCGACTTATCGTCAGGATTAATCACGGATCTTTTATTTAATTAATCTCTTCAAATTAAAATCAACACCTTGTAAATGCACACTTATTATAAGACGAATAATAAATAAACATTAAAAAATGAATATTTTTTGTACTATTTTTGACGTTGTCCAGCAGAATATATAATATTAAGTTATTAAGAGAAACAAAGTCAAACCCGAAGTTCTTAAACGAGATATAGACAAAGTTATATATCTGTGAAAACGTTATAAATCCTTCTTTGTCTCTTTTTTCTAAGAAAAAAAAAATCGTTTTGTTTCTTTTACGTTATACTTATATAGAGATCACCAGAATTACAATATTCATAGGGCAAATACTTGTATCAATACTATATGGGGTATGTTATCGCCCTTAATGTATACTTTTTTGAGAGAGTCGAGCGAGCACTCATGCCGCTTACAATGTGTGCCTGAGGTCTTCTGTTACAACTCTCCTTGCCGATTTAGAGCGTACAACTATTCACCGATGGTGTAAGGCTTAATGTCACCACATGACTTAAATATGAAAGATGAACTTATTAGCTGTGTTTGTGAATAGGGAATTGATCATCAAAGATTTAATTTAACCTTGGGTATCAGATAGTAGTAAACATTATTGTGATTGAAAGGCGACAATATTTCTAAAGTGGTGATCTACAAGCAAAACACGCAGAAATTGATGTACTCTTTCCCTATGCATAGTTTACAAATTGAGTCGCGTTAAAATCCCCTGTGAGCGCTAAAGCACAGCAGCTCATGCAACCAACACTTGGTTACACGTTCGCGACTAAACAATGATAAATCTGCTATAGTATGAACGAATTGAAATTTATTTTATATACAATTTTTGATAGATTTACAAATACAGGTGTTATATTGTTATAACTATTTACAACTAATTGTAGTTAACTATGAAATATTAGATCCCACGTGTCTTGTGTGTCATTTTAATTTGGCTATATTTTTTAGCGTAGAACGTTGCTAATTTACTGTTGCCTACGTCCAAGATACTGCTAGTGATTATGACCCTTTAATTTTATTCCTGGTGTATCAATCATGCCAAAAAAAATCTATATTGGGTCCGAGAAAGAAAATAATAAGTAATTTCTTGGCTGGCAGAAAAAAAAGGAAGAAAAAGGCTACGGATTGCAGTAATCTTGTAATACCCTTTAATGTGCGGATACTGTTAGTCACATAATGCAAACACTTGAAAATATGTACCCTGGAATAAAACAAAACCCCATTATTTTAAACGGAAATAAACAGCGCGCAAAAAATACACAAGGACGAAAGGAAGGTGCGAACGACATAAGCGCTGAACTCACAACTAAACATTTATTGAAGAAAACAAAAAAAAAAAAATGTTTAGTTGTGAGTTCAGCGTTTGTGTAGTTCGCACCTTCCTTTCGTCCTTGTGTATTTTTTGCGCGCTGTTTATTTCCCTTTATTATGAACCAACTCGCCTAAATCACGACACTAACCCATTATTTTCTAATGGTATGATGACTAATTTTTGGCAAACCAAGAAATGGCGCAATGGCCGACTGCGGCATTCATTTCAGCAACCAAGTCTTCTCCACTAAATTAACAACCTTGTTTTCGTTCTTGATTAATCACGCTTTCGCTGAAATAAATACCAAAGGTGCCCACAATGTAATTTGAATAATAAGTATATGTGAACGTTGGTTCACAATATATTTTTATATTTGGTTCGACTTGTTCAACAAGATAACAGCCTGTTCTTAAAGCTGTAAATTCTTTCATCCCAGTTTGAGTTACATTCGCGTAAAAGTAGAGGTTTCTGCGATGCGTATTTTATTTTTGCGGCCAAAGAATTCGCGCTTTTTTATCTCTGACCTTGCATGGAGCGTAATGCCTCATAAAATAAACTCTCTGGTATTTCTACGATGACCAACGATTTGTGTAAGTTACGCCCGTTAAAAAAAACAAAAAAACTCTAGTCCATGTTGAAGAAAAAAGAAAAAAGAAACATATGCACTTCATTTCATTTCATTTCATTTTATTACCTTAAAGACCCCCTTTTAGGGCGTATTACATAAGGGGTGGGGTTTCAAAAATAATCAAACATAGGTGCTGGTCTTCAGGATGAGAGATGATTGGTAACATTTTCGAAGAAGATTGATGGGCAGGGGATAGCAGCAATGTGGTGGGGAAGGCCGTTCCAGTCTGGAGCTGCTCGGGGGAAGAATGACGCAGAAAAAGTGACAGTGCGAGCGCGTGGGCGAGCAACTTGGAGAGGATGACTGGTGCGGTGAGATATGCGTGTGGGAGGTACGGTGTAAGGTGAGATACAGAGGGGGGAATTAAATAACTTGTGAAACACACAGAGGGTAGCGATGCGGCGACGACAAGCGAGACTAAGTAAACCTGATTCAGCATTCAGGGGTGATACGCTGGTATGGTACGAGTATGAAGAATGAATGAATCTAGTTGCGCGATTTTGGACTGCTTCGATTGCGTTGATGAGGTATACTTGGTGAGGGTCCCAGACGGCGGATGGATATTCAAGCTTTGATCTTATTAGTGATTTGTAGGCGAGTAGTCTTACTTCCTGAGGGGCGTGGCGTAGTTGACGTTTAAGGAATCCCAGGGTTTTGTTAGCAGATGAAATAATGTTAGTAATATGCGTACGCCAAGATAAATCGCTGCAAAGGGTGACACCAAGGTATTTATATGATTCGGTAAATTCTACGGGGGTGGTAGTGATGGTATAGGGAAAGAAAAGGGGATTGCGGCGGCGGTGAAAGGACATAACTTTACATTTAGTAGAGTTAAGTGACATTAACCAACGGTCGCACCATTGCAGCACGCGGTTAAGGTCGTTTTGGAGAGCAGATTGGTCCGATACGTTAGTGATGGAATGGTAGATGACGCAGTCATCTGCAAACATGCGAATATTACAGGATAAATGTTGCGGTAAATCATTAATATATATTAAAAATAAAAGCGGACCAAGAACAGACCCTTGGGGGACGCCCGATGTGACTGGGATGAGATTAGAAGACTGGTTGTTAACTAGGACAGATTGGGAGCGGTTGTTAAGAAATTCTTTGATCCATCGTAAGATATTATGGTCTAAGTTCAACTGAGCAAGTTTTAGTAGCAAGCGCTGATGAGATACTTTGTCAAATGCTTTTGAAAAATCTAAAAATATGGCGTCAGTTTGTATGTTAGAGTCGAGGTTAATGTGCAGATCATGAAGAAAGAGGGCTAACTGAGTTTCGCAGGAGAATCCTTTACGAAAGCCGTGCTGCGAAGGATGGAAGAAGTCGATCGAGTCCAGAAAATGCATGACTTGAGAAAAAATGACGTGTTCCATGATTATACAAGGCACGCTCGTTAGAGAGATAGGGCGGTAGTTTAATGGGGATTCTTTATTACCTGATTTGTAGACGGGAACGACCTTTCCCACCTTCCAGTCTTCCGGAATGTTACCTGTAGAAAGTGACTGAGAGAATAACAAGGACAAATTTGCTGCAGAGATGTGTTTAGTATTTTTTAGAAATTTTGAATTAATTTCGTCTATGCCGGCTGATGATGACAGTTTAATGTTATCAATTACTGACGCAATACCATCAGCAAAAAAAGTGACGGGAGACATTGGACACTTGGTGTTTGCAGGGAGCATTGTAAATGACACATCAGATTCTGCAGTGAAAACCGATGAAAACGCGGTGTTGAAAACGTTCGCACATTCAGCATCATTCACAGGTTCGCCCAATTCATTGATAATGGCAACAGTACGCTTTTGCTGAGGGTTTATCACTTGTCAGAATTTTCGGGCGTTTTTAATCAACATATTTGGTAGGTCCACGTGGAAAAAAGAGTACTTGGCGTTTCGGATTGCGGTTAAATATGCATCCTCAGCCGCGTAGTATTTTTCCCATGCACTAGGGCCAGCCGACAGCTTGGCTGAGCGGAAAAGACGTTTTTTTCTGTTTTTTAATCTTTTGAGGCTTTTAGTGAACCACGGTTTATGTTGATCTGCGTGGAAACTGAACAAGGGGATGAAATTATTTGCTAGCTCGTTTAACTTATTTTTAAAAATCAACCAATTTTCATGAATTGACTGGTTGAGAAATATTGCTTCAAAAACTGGAAAAAAGGTGTTCAGCTCGTTATTTATAGTTTCATAATTTCCTTTATCGTACAGGCGAATTGTTTTCTTTTCGATATGACGTTTTGCAGGAGTAAGCTCAAAGACAGCATGAATAACTCTGTGGTCACTAATCTCTCGAAGGTAGTTTATGGATGATAGACTGTCAGGTTGATTGGTTAATATTAGATCTAAAATATTTGCAGATTCGCGAGCGACGCGCGTTGGTTCTGTTACCAGCTGGGTGAGATTAAAATTGAGACAAACCTCAATGAATTATTTTTCTTCTGAGTTGCTTACAGTTAAGGGTGATGGGTCAATCCAATTAATATTTGGGAAATTAAAGTCACCAAAAAGAAGAATTCGTGCATTTGGGTACTCTGCAGAAAGTTGACATAGTAGGTCGTTTAGTTTACGGGAAAATTCGGTACTATAATTTGGTGGTCTGTAGCAGATGCCCAGTACAACTGTTTGCGGAGAAGCCCGACATATGAGCCACAATGCTTCAATATCAGAGGGAATGGTAATGAGAGAACAGGACAACTGTTGGCTAACGGCGAAGAGTACACCTCCACCTCGTGCGCCTTTCCGATCATTTCGAAAGATTTGAAAATTTGGCAAGTCAGCAAGGACTTCTTCGTCAGTGACGTCGGCAGTTAACCATGTTTCAGTTAGTAGTAATATATTGCTGCTGGATGACGACACGAGATTAGATACAAGATCCCGCTTTGAAAGGAAGCTCCGTATGTTGGTAAAGATAACAGATAAGGAAGTATTTACACGAGGGGTGGATTGAGGGCGGTTTATTGGTCGTTGATAGATTGGTGATTGTTATGCAATTTCTTTGACAGTTTGTGACAACTCGTCAAACATATAACGTTGTTTGCCAATGAATAATGTTTTGTAGCGTAGCGAGAATGGGACTGCCTTGTTTTTAGCAAATGTAACTAACTGCTTCCGGGCGTTTTGGACGGGGCGCGAGAAATCTTCGCCAATGCTAAAGACGGTGCCCTTTAACTTACGGCCGTTCGAAAGAATGACCTCCTTGGTTTTAAAAAAAGTTAGTTTCACGATTAATGGGCATCACACAATTAATGTGTGATGGCCGAGACGGTGAGCTCGCTCTATATCTGTAGGTTCAAGCGTCACGTGGAGATGATCAGAGCATAACTTAATTATTTTTTCTTCGGACTGGACAGAAGTCTCATGTGGGACGGGATCAGGAACGCCGTAAAATATTACATTGTTTCTTCGTGAGCGGTTTTCAGCATCGTCCATTCGGGCGTTCATCTCTAAAACCATATGGGATGTTTGAGCAGTATCAGCGCGTGCCGTCTCGAGGTCCGATTGCAAGGTGTCAATTTTTTTATAATGAAACTCTAGTTCAGCCATTCGCTCATTCAGGTTGGCTATATTTCTGTCCTTAGTTTGCAGTTGGGCTTTGAGGTCTTGTACCTGGGAAATTATCTGAGCCTGCCCGACAGACAGTTTTTTTCATTCAACAAGTATAGCTTCCGTAGGTCCCGGGTTGGTCTCTACGTCGCCAGACAACAATACAACAACGCCAGACAACAATATGGCCCATTTCCCATAGTACGATATAAAAGTCCAAAATAAAATAAGATAAAGTTGTTTTATTAGTGGTTTAATACAAACTCTATAATTCTATACACGCACCATACGCATGATGCACACAAACACAACATATTATCGTGTGATGTGCACCCCAATAATTTATTGAAAATAGTACTAATTATAAAATAAAGCAAGAGAAGTAAAAAAAATGTGCCATTTATTTTCCGCTTACAGGCGAAGTATATTAGCAGACTATGAGCAGACAAAGTTATCCTGTGTGTTGTGTGGGGGACAGCGACCCTGTGTTCCAAATCTTGCCCAAATGGATCCGAGTTACTCCGGCGGATCGTATCACGTGACAGCACAGATTGAAAAACGCTGGACGAGGGTAGATCTTAGAACGCCAAGGGTACAAAACCCTTACCCTGGAGTAAGATCGAGTAAATCGAGTAGTCCGTGTCACTTCTTTGTCTGGTCCTCGTCTTTCCGCGCTGTTTTTAATTTCCGAAATTTTGGAACACGGCCTGAGCGGCACGGCACGTGCAGGGACGGCGCCGTGAGCGAAGAAGAAAAAGGAGGCTCGGCGCGGGCGAGGTGCGTGAGCGAGTTCCAAGCCAGACAGAAAGAAGAGCCGGCGCCGGGCAGCCGGTCTAAACAGAGACCCGGACCACACGGCAGCTTTGGCCCTCGTCAGCCTTAACCTTGAGTAGCAATTAAACCTTTCTTGATGATAGCGGCTTCCTCGGGGCGAGTGGAACTCGGTCTGATCGGGCGGTATTGACAGGCGACCCACAGTTGCCATTAGGAAAATAGACATAATGTGTCATTGATTCTGCTCTATAGACTAGTCGTATGTGTCATATGTTTTTTGTTTCAATGGAGTTTACCAATTAAAGGCTTCCAACCAGAAGAATTAAATCGGAAACAGCAACATTTTCCTTACTTGCTGCTCTGTTTAAGAGCTATGCTAACGAACTGTGGAGAAATAGTGTTATCAAGTTCCTTGTTACGTGAAAGTGATACATGTCATTCTCAAACTGAAACCCCCGCAACCGCCCCTTCCCCCTTCCCCCCTCCCCTAAGAAAAAGAAGGAAAAAGCTCTTTTTTCTTAAATTGTATTAACATTATAGTGTTATTAGCCCCTAAATTGTAGTATTGAAAGGCGCACCTTTTGCCGAAGTATCCCCTTCTCTCCAAGAACTTTCTCGAAGACGTTTTCTGCGACTTTCGAGTCCAGGGCGCTAAAGGGGTCGTCCAAAAGGTAGATGTCTGAACGACTGTAGGCAGCTCTAGCAAGAGCGATACGTTGCTTTTGACCGCCGCTTAACGTTTCTCCCTAGATGAAAAGAAAGGAGTATTTGAAGTTATTAGTGGATTTTGAACATATTGTTATACTCGGTGCTTGGTTTTCACGTATGCCGTTTTCATTTTTGAATAGATTTAACGTTACATAAATATAATCTTCAATCATGATTTATAAGGATCGGTTCTATCGGACGGGAGACTATTTATCATGTTTGGAATGATTACCAGCCTGTACTATTACCTTAATTGCTGAAATCAAGGGTTACGCTTTAATTGCTGTTTTATATCAAACTATGAAAATGTTGACCCGTTTTTCTAAATTTATGTAAAACATGAATTAGGACATTAAGCGATAATTTCTGCTTTTATCTCGACTAATTTTGAGTCTGGTCACAGAAGAACCGCGTCCACTGGCGTACGTCAGACAAGGAACCTGGATGTGTTGGGTGTCTAAGTACAGATAATGCTGAGAGTTGATAGGGCAAAGCAAGCAGCAACACTTTCTACGTTAAAGCGTCCAATTTCCCGGACGTGCGTTCTTTTCCTAATGTAATTTAGGGTAGGGAATAAGCCCTTGCATTGCACTACACACGGTGTTTCTTCTGAAGCTTATCATATTTGTTTCAGAAAAGTCGTGAAAGCTACACTAATAAAGTTTGTTCAGGCAGGTTATATGGTAAGAAGGATACAGTATTAGAAGCCAATAGTCACGATAAGTCAAATAATGCACTAAAACTTGTTAAATAACTTCAGAGATGGTGGCAAATGAAGCCATTGCCTGACGCCTATAGCCTTAACTTACGGCCTCTGGTTGTCTTTAAATGTGGCAGCATAATGTCAAGTAACCGCCTGAAGAATTTTGTTCGTTACGCCAAAGCGCCTACTCATGCGAGGGAGAGTAAAGTACAAGGGCCATTCACTTCTTATGACGAGACATGAACGGGTCGCAAGGAAGTGTGCTACATGAGCTCCTCGGCTCTCAACATCGCGTGCACGCGCGGGTTGCACTGGTTGTGCAATAGTCGTCAAAATCGTTGCACACTGAAGGAGCGAATAAAAGAGGATATAGATCAGTGGTCTCCAAATGCCGGCCCGGGGGCCAGATCCATCTCGCTGAGGTCTTCCGATCGGCCAGTGGCTGGCCGCGGTCCCTCCAGTAAATCATGGCACACGACTCGTTTTCAGCAAACCAGCTGCTACTGGCTCAGAAAGAACCCCGCGTAATAAAACGGCGTCGCAGCACGCACCAAATGCGTAAACTATGATACCAGAAGACAAGGATGGGCAGAGATACTCAAAAATGTATTCCGATGTAAAAATGCATGAGTTGCATGTATTTTGGAGCCAGGAGATACTGATACACGTTTGCCTTTTATGTGAAATGACATCCCTGAGGTACTTCGGCAAAAAACATAAATAATAGGTATTCCGAGATACAGATACAGATGCGTAAATACAGCTTTTCCGAAACTGTGGAAAGTGAGGAGTGTGCAGATTGTGGTGAATGCAAATGGCAGGGCTTGTATTCCTCAAGTTTATATCAGTTAGGTCAACTTATTTTTTTCCGGCCCACGAGACAACGGCAGATCCCTGATCGGTCCGGCCACTTAGCGAAATAGTTTGGAGACCTCTGATATGCATGAATAGAAGCGGAAACGTGGCCAGTTATTCTCTACCTAACAAGCGATCATTTTACAATGAGAATGTCAGCGCTACCAACGCCATTTTTTTTTCTTCAGGTAAGGTCTGGTTGTCTTTCCGAATTGACACACCCTGACTCGACATTTTATATTTTGGCTGTGGAATGACATAACACAATTCATTCAGTGTACTCGTTCTTGGAGCCGTCAGCCAAGTCCAATAAATAGCTTTGAGGTAGGGACGGAATTAGGGGACGGGGACCGTGGGGGGGGGGGGGGGGGGGGTGCCCTCCTAAGCTTCACAATGTCAGCTTTTGTTATACAAAAAAAGACTGACATAAACCAGCCAAAAGCTTAGTTTTCGGTGATGTAGTAAATATTGGGTCAACAAAATAGATCTGTGCAACGCTTCGGCCGCAATGTCCCCAATTCTCAGCACCTCCCTGCCCCTAAAGCCTACCCATAAATCCGCCCCTTCTTTGAGGTGACTGATGAACACTGCAAAAACATTGTGCTATCGGATATTTGTTGAAAATGAGGTGACGTTTTTTCTAGCATAATCTACTACTCTTGGAAGTTACTATTAACAAGTGTTCAATATCACATTTCTATAGGATGGTTACAATATGTAATAAAACTAATATGACTAAATCAATTTTTTGTGTTTTGATATTAGGAAGGAAGGTAGCACTTACCCTTTCGGAAACCTGCGTCATATCTCCTGCTGGAAGAGTTCGCATATCCTGAATGAGCTCGCATGCGTTCAAAACTTGGGCATAGCGGATATCATCGAATCTGCTACCGAAAACAATGTTGTCACGAATAGTCATGTTGAAGATGTCGGCAACTTGTGGGGTGTAGGCAATGCGGCCCTGAAAGTAACAAGAAGCGAGGACAGACAAATGCATTCACTCCAAACTCCAATGGAGTTTTTTTTTAATATTTCAATGTCCCAATACTAATGCCAGTATCTATAATTTTGTGTTGCCCTGGACATTCCCAATAACTGTAAATGCATAATCCTGTTTCTATTTGAAATAACAAATGCCTAGTACGGCAGAGAAAGGTGCTTTTGTACACATGAATTTAATACCAATTTGGGCTTACAGTGATTTTGACATCTCCTTTCATGCAGTGCATGTCTCCCAGAATGGCTGCAAGGAGTGCAGACTTGCCCGTCCCAATTGGACCAGAGACCCCGACAAGGGACCGAGGCGCCAGGTGCAAGGATATGGATGTGAGTGTTGAATTTTTCTGGTGGTTGGTCCACCCAAAAGAGCAATTTTCCATTACGATGGTACCTGCGGGAACAAGGTACGGACACTATAGAGGAATACTGCATACATTTGTATTCATTTATGCAGAGTGTTTGAGATTAAGTTTAAGAACATTTCTTTATAAGTGCGAAAGCAGTATTTATATATGGTATGTGAACACCATGTTCAACAAAATCTGTCTGACCCGGCGGATATTGTATCGATTAATGACCGTTTGGATCAGTAGATATATTAAGTAAAATTGGTTAATTACTCTTAAGTGCTGGTTTTATATGTCACGTTGCATTTGCATTAATGACCGCACTTATAGTTAGGGCCTAAACTAATTTAAATATTTTGTCAAAATGCAAGCCGATATTAAATATCAATCGCTCAGTTTTGGTGTGTTTGTCGCCTGGTTGCGAACATCAATGCAGAGAAAGCGAGGCGAACACTTTCCACGACCTTGTGTAGAAAAGTAGCGGCGTTTCTGGCACCCGGTCACTACTTTTCGCAAGGTGCCGTCCGTACATCTACCTAGGATGCGCTTAAGAAATATTGACGATGTGATAGAAACGACGTCACTCCCCTGAACCTCATTGCGCCAGGACTTCAGGCACACTTTTTGCGTCCAATTTTGAAATCGGGTGACCAAAAACCGAGAAATCATCCATGAACAACTCCAACCCCTGAAAAGTTTCGCTAAGTGTGTAGACTTATTTCGCCTTTGATAATGACTGTCGTAAAATTGGAATTGCAACCTTACACATTTATCCATTCATTAAAAAGATAATCAACAAATTTTATATAATTCGCCTAAGGACATTGACGGTTATCCTCTCACATCATTCCTGCCTAGCCCGATATAAAAGCAGTGAAGGCAATAGTTTATATACCGGCCTCTAGTGTGTAACAAGTACATAAAGATAAGTTTGAATTGAGATCGAACTCCGTCTACATTGTTATGATAATGATGATCAAATGTATTCAACTGTGCTGTACTATGTTGTAATATTTGATGAAAGAAGCTGTTTGTTTTTATATAATCAGGTTCTGAAAAAAGTCTTAGTTCACATACTTGGCAGAGAGAAACTATAAGGTAAACCCAAAATGTTTTTTTTTCATATATATAATTGTTCCATTCATATGCCATACGAAATGGTGAGGATTATAAATGTAAAAACAAAAAAGGCTACCGTCCTCAAAAAAAAAAAAAAATTCTTTTGTGGAGCCAATTTCCCAAAGCATCTAGGAGGGTGTCTGTATGTTACGTTATTTCGTGGGATACCAACTTTTTATATATTTTTCGTGCGAATTAGAACTCATTAGAACTCTGAACACCTTGAACTTGCATCAGCGATAACAAAAATCACTACCTTTAGTTTGAGAGTGGTAGTTGAAACCAATTTGCTTCCCTTCCTCCTCCTCTTGGCTGCAGAACTTGATTATTCTTTCGAGTGCAAGTGACATCTGTGGAAAGTGCATAAAACTCTAAGATACAAGTTGTTAAACGTGAAAAAGGCCTAATATGACGGAATTATTATTTCCAACCAACCAATCTAACCTCGTAAGACATTTTCCCTTGCAACCACCTCACATCGTGATGTGCAATAGAACATTTCTGAAATTGCTCTTGTCAACAATGAGCCGCTGCCTCGACGGCGCTCGAAAGTGCAGCTCGGACTATGATCTGACAAGGTGCAGCCATTATGTGGTATGCGTCCGCGTTCGCAAGCTGCAGCGCCGCTGGTCCCGATCCGCTGTCGTGGACCAGGGGCTTGGTTGACATTCCATATTAGTACACTACGGATGAAGTAAACGACAACTGCGTAGCCCGCAAGACGAGCGACCAAAACCGAAGGAACAATTTAAGTTTGCAACTGAAGGTTACGTGGAGTCACCTTCGCCCGAAACGGCGACTTGGTTTTTACGGCTTGGTTCTTATATTGGGGACTGAGTAGGTTGTCGCATTTTTGTTGCCGACGCTGTCCACAGCGGCGATGGAGTCGTTTTTCGCGTACTCGTTGGCGATTTTGTTTACATTTACGATTCAGTTGCTTGTCACGCCATTGCTGTCAATTTTGTCCACGATCGCGTCCCATATCGCGTCTTCGGCAGCAGCAGTACAGAGACCATTTGCTTTAGGGGCCGTGGCAGTCTTCGACACGATGTTCTCTTCTCTTAGGCTTTTCGGCAAAGTTGAAAGCAAGTTCTGTTAACTGTATTTTCGCGGCCTCGATATTTCGCAAATGTTACGAATTGTGAGTTTCTAGAACATTTGGCGGCACAATGTTCCAAGGTATATAGGGGTATCCTAAGTAGCCCTTGCCTATAGGGTGATTCATTTGCGTGATCTAGTTTTCGCAATTTTTATTAAGTCCTAAAATTTGCGAAAAATAGGTCTTCGGGAAAATAAAGTCGTTTACAGTGTACTTGGCCCAGCTTGTGGCATCAAGAACCGGCGGCTACCAGCAACGTTTGAGAGGCCCCGAGCCTGGCTGAACTGCGTCGGCCTATAGCCTCGTATATTTTCTGTTTTTATGTTTTCCATTCCGACGTTTTATAACAATTTCTTGGTTGCTTCAAAAAAAAAAAAGATCACTGGGGAAGGAAAAGAATGGGATACCTGGAAGAAGAGTGCCCGAATTTAAGTATAGCTCAAATGACATCCCTGAATAAATTATCCTCGGGGAAAGCTACGTGCTTGTGCACAAAGCTTTGATAGTTCTTTGACTTCGCGAGCCATCGCAATGAATCCTCGTGCTCCCGCGGGTATGCCGACTTCATTTATTTTGGAGTTTAGGGAGCGCACAATAAACGGATTCTGGTTTATACTGGTGCTCCTTTTTTTTGTTGTTGACATCTGTATTTTTGCAGCAAAGCAGTAAATCTCGTCCTGTTCGAGACGTTATCTTTCACGCCCATCTGCTTCCACTGTGCCGCACAGCAATAAACGCGCATCTTATAAGGCGCTATTCGGCCAATACAGAGCACTGTCCTCCGCGATCGTATTCCCCGTAACCGCGGCCGTGGCCCCGCCAAAGCGGCCCACGTGATCACTCCCAGCGATTGCACATAGTTTGGAATCGGCGCCGCTAGATGGCGCGGCATTTCTAAAAGTGTATATTGTAAGAAATGAGACCAGCACCATATTAGTTACAGAGACCTCGCTAAAGTTCACCCGAGAACATTAATGAGTGCACAGAAGCGTGAAATATGTTAAGAATTCATTAATACACGTCTTGTTCTACATTCTTTCTTCGTGAGAATTCGAAGCGAACACATTTTAAGTGATAAAAGTATACTTTTTATAAATTACAGTTTCATAGTAAGAATATAAAAGTAACAAAAAAAAACGTTATGTGAGTGGCGGTGGTCTTTTATTTATATGATAGTAGGGTCAGGAATTTTCGCGTTAAAAACGGTAACCATTAAGTACCTCTGAACTGGTGCTTTCACCTAGTCATGTGGGAAGAAATTGGATGCACTTTTTCTTAACGTTTGTGAAATATAATCTTGCTTTCAATATTTGATTTGTGTTCTATCGCATAAATCATTTGCTTCTCCTATATCATTTTAAACGAAGTTACATATCGCGTACTAAACGATCTCGCTACAGGCGAAATCATGAACTGTACAAAAATGTTTGTGATATATTTTCAACGTAATTTTTATTTTTTCAGTCAATTGTATCTTGCGTTTACACAATGATATATTGGGAAATCGTTTCGTTATAGAAGAAAGAAATGTATTTAAATCCGGCAACCCCTTCTGGTGTCTAGGCTCCCTGTGATTCCTTAGTAGCAGCGACCTATTTTTTTATTTTTATATTCTACTAGTATGAATTGGTGTAAGTTTCAGAAATTACATTTAGTTGCTAACCTCAAACCAAGTTAATCCGCGAGGCAATTCGTATCATTAACGCACTTTTGACGCGCTATTAGAGAGAATTTGGTACAGCGCTTGTACGGTTTGAATTGTATTTTTTTTTCTTTTACAATTCTAGGTCTTACCAGACATCTGATCCGGAAGACTTGGGATAAATTGTTTGTAATTGTATCTGTGAGTGAGAGCATGTAGATACAAGAAAATGACAGTGCAGGGCTAAGCAGCCGATTTGGGTCAAATATAGCCAAGCTCCCAAAGAGTAGGATGATCATCTGTAAAATACGTTTCACCAGACTGAAAGTCTCGCCCTCATGTTTTGAAAGTATTTATTAAAACATCACTTAAAGAGAAGTACGGCAGCCTAAAACATGATTGACACCTTTAACGTATGTTTAAAGGGTAACTGCAAAGAAAAAAAAGTTTTTTTTTTAAGCAGCCTAATTGGGACAAGCATGTCACAAAACAAATGTTCCGCGAAAAAAATGATTTTTTTTATCAATATTTACGCCACAGGACGTAATTTTGTAGAGTCAGAACCTCCACACATTTGAAACTCCCGCTCTTTCGACCCCCGCGGAAGAGGAGTATGCCCCGCCCCTCACTCTCCTTGCGTTGCGGAGTTGAACTGGTTGAACGACGGAACGTCTCGACTTCCGGCAAGATCTGGCGTGGCGGACTCGCTGCAGGGCCTGCAGGGGCTCATGAACGAGTGTGGTGCAATGGGAGAGGCCCTGGGGCTTAGTTTCAGTTCGCACAAGTCTGGGCTGATGGCCTTTGGGGCAGCAGAGGAAAACGGGACCGCCAACCTGTCCATTCAAGCCAATCCTGTACCTTGGGTGGACCACTACAAATATCTGGGTGTAAACCTACAGAAGGGACACCACTACCTCCTAGAGCACGAGACGAAGGTCAAGGCGAAGAGCAGGAAGAACAAGGGCATAGCAACGGCCAGGGCCCTCTGGGGATATAACCGATACGAGGTAACCCGAGCGGTCTGGAAGATGGTGGCGGTGCCGGGGCTCACTTTTGGCAACTCAGTGTTGTGCCTGTCATCAGGTACCAGGCAATACCTCGAGGTCCGACAGAGGGAGGTGGGAAGGACGGCACTGGGAGCAAGCCGAACAGCACCGAACGAAGCCGTCCAAGGAGACATGGGCTGGTCCGGTTTTGAGGCCAGGGAGGCCCGAGCCAAGCTGGACTTCGAGCGACGCCTCAGCCGGATGAGCGAAGAGCGTTGGGCCAGACAGGTCTTCAAGTATGTACATCTTCGGTCCGTCCCAACCCGGTGGGTGCGACGGACGCGCCAGCTGGCACAGCGATACGAGGTCAACGGCCCACTCCTCTACCCAGCCGCGGAGCAGCCGGAACTGCAGCAGAGCATCCGCACGAGGGTGATCGAGAGCGAGACACGGCGATGGGCGGAAGCGGCACGTCTGAAACCAGCGCTGGCCCTGTATGCCAGAGAGAAACAGGAGGTGAAGCGAATACCTTTCATGGACAACAGCAAGGGCAGTGCACTGCTTTCGGACGCCCGAGGCGGCATGCTGCGGACCCGCGTTTTCCGCGCGAAGTACATGGACATGGAAGTGAAGTGCGTCATGTGCGCGCAGGGAGCAGACGAGACGGCGGAACACGTCATACTGGAATGCACGGGTATAAAGCCGGACGTGACGTACGAACCAGACATGGCGGTGGCGCTGGGTTTCCGGGGCGTTGACGAACAGTACGACGCCGACAGCTCGCAGCAAGTGGAGGTGACAAAGAGGAGACTGGAGTGTTGGTGGAGGAGAGCAAAAGAACACAACTACGTTTTTGGCTAGTGTAGCTACTAGCCAGGCTAGATCCAGCGCTGCTGAGATCCCCCGATACAAAGGGGTTAGCTCCAAATCCAATCCAATCCAATCCAAAATGTTTTGGTTTGACGCGGTTTGCGAGCACAGGTAGCGGAGACGTGACCGGAGAAGTGCCCCTGTGATGTTACCGGAAGACGGAAAGTATCGTTCGTAATCGTCGTGCGTGCTTTGAAAGCGAAGGGAGTCACAGAATCCACGAGTGCGCAACCACAAGCCAAGGTTCACGACAGCGCTGCGTTGGTTTCGGCGATTTCGTTCTGTTTGGTGCAACACAGCGATGCGACAGAGCTGAAACGTTCGTGGTGTGTGTAATGCGGTGCTATGTGTGTTATGCGGGGTTGACGTACAACGGGTCCAGTCCCGTCGTCGTCAGCTGATTCAGTAAAACTGGCCCGGGAGGACGCAGTGAGCGTTTTTAAAAGTAAATCTTCCTTCGTTCTGTTTCAAAATGTGGAAGATTCCGGACGCATACCGTGAGTAAAAAGCTGTGGGCGTTTTCAAATAAATTACGTCGTTTTAATTGAACAATGGACTCCGAATTGTTCTCCTAAATCTGCCGTTTTTATGCTTCGTGTTGTTGGACTGCGTTTGCACAGCGACGTGTTGCGCTCGTCGTGCGGTGTGAATAAATTTGGGCAAGATTTCGTACCTGTCTACAGATGCAAGAACTGAGACCACTTTTTACGTAGTGAACATGGTGCTTTTTTATTTTGTGTGTCTAGCTGTGGACGTTAGGTGCGCCCGGTGCGAATCTCGATGGCCTCCGGAGCGATATGACGAGAACGTAACTGGACACGTTTGTCGCTACGCGAACGCCCGATTGCCTCCAGCCAAATAGCATTCCTTTCGGGGCGACATGGCTGCTGGAAGGCTCACTGTCGGGATCACGCATCTGACATCTCCGAAAAGTCAGCATTTGCACGCGCAAACAAGCAAAACAAACGCAAAAAAAAGCACGCTAAGCAAGCAAAGAGGAAAACGAAAGAACCCTGCTATGAAAGCCAAAACCCCGCGTCGCTTCCTATCACTAACACCTGCGACAGCTACTAAACACACACTACTTCACTTCAAGAAGTCTCACTCAAGCACCTGGGTCAGCACGAAACACTGATCACTTCGCCGAAACGATTAGTCGAGGTAGGCGAGACAGGCGGGAGCAGAGACTTCGGCGGCCATGAAAGAATGGCGAAGCTTTTGTTTGTTATGGTATGAATCCAAACGAAAGTGCCCGTCTTGTAAACCTTTTGTAAAGAATAATAACTCTCATCACATGGGTTATTCTTTAAACGTAAAAATATGCCGCTCAAAAGGAAATTGCAACAAATAACAAAGGTTTAACAACCAAGATCTAAGCTGTCAATCAAACTCTTAGCCAATAAGAGCCGATTGGAATTAACGTCACGGAATCCCAACTTCGTGGCGGGCGATTTAAAACGGGCGAAATAGCCGCAAACTAAAATCAGTCTCACGCAATAAATATTGCTGTAAACATTTTTTTTTCTTCCCGGAAAAATTGTTTTTTGACATGCTTGTCCCAATTAGGCTGTTTAAAAAAAATCTTTTTTTTTTCTTTGCAGTTACCTTTTAAGTGATTTTTAGTCATTTTAGCAATATTGTACTTGAATACGTTGTATATAATACATTTGGGATGGTCTAACTGAGCTAACGGTTCATTTAAAAAACAAACAAAAAATGTTTAGAATGAGGTAGCGTTAAGCCTGCCAAATGGCAACGTCAACAGCAAAATAAAAAGTCTATTTTCAAGATGAAAATATCCCATACTTTAAATTCACCATCAAACCTTCTGTAGAAGAACTTGGAATCGGACTGATTGTGAACGTTACAAAGCACGGTGTGAGGCGTAAAAAGACGATGGACACAAGAGAGAATGCAGACCCAGACAGGCACCACTCACAACGATAATTGAGAAGTGCAAAAAATAAAGAAATATTTAAGTCGCACCGTCATCACGTCCACGCACGCGCTAGGCCGGGGATTGGAAATAAAGCGTGTATCCCCCGTACTCAAGCCGACGAGTTATGTATTTCCTCATTTTCTGCACTTGTCAAATATAGATGTGAGGGGCGCCTTTTTGAGTCTCTTCTTCCTTGTGGCCGTTGTTTTTTGCTGCTTACACAATGAATTCCGATCAAACTCCACGTAGCTGGAGCGCATTCATTGTACACCTTACAAAATACCCATGCGCGTATATTTCCGTCACAGTAGTACATATACAGTTCACTAACACGAATGTAACGTACGATATCTTTATAAATTATAAATTTAACATTTTGGAAGTATCGAAATTGATCATATTTTTCTGGTATTTTATAAGTTGATAACATAACTGCAAAATTCAGGTCGGAATAAAATTATGTTACATGTACCTCTTGACAGTGCCACAAAACACACGTAAGGTATCACTAAAACATTATAAACATATTACCGATTTTCAATCAAGGTTTGTTACGCTTTCGTCAGTGCAACTAGGAATAAATCAAGGAATACTTTTAATTCGTGTTTCTTTGCAAAAGAAGGCTTTTAAACTAAGGTTTTGAGAATAAACAATTGGCCTCAACTATTCGCTGGAAAAATATTTTAAGACAAGCTCGAAGAAATATTTTTCTCCATAATTCTTGAAATTAGAAAAAAAAAAGTTTTAGAGAGGCGTTGCAGATTTTAAACGGCACTTAATATTATAATACATAAATGCTTCATCAATTGCATCAAGATAATGCCGCCACGCTACCATTGAGCTGGTGCCGCTGTAGAGAGAGTCAATTAAGCCATCCAGAAGATTGACTCTGAAAACAGAATTCATCTCAGATTCCCGAAAGCCTTTCACTGAGTCCATGTAAGCGTCTTCCCAGGCACACATCTTCACCAGCCGCACAGACGTAAGCAGGTCAGCCATTCGCTTTAGGCGCTGGTCCCGACCACTCAGGATTTTGCGCTAAAGTAAAATATAAGTTAAGATGAGTATGCCTTCGCGAGTCATCATAACACTGCTAAATAGAGAACGGCTATCTCCCCCTTAAATTTCTTTAGTTTGGTTGCAATTAAAATAATGAAAATTTATTTCATTTGTGGTATATGATTTCTGGGTTCATTTTTCAGTCGATCATGTTTTGCGGGTTGTATTCATTGCTATAATTTTTTAGTCTGTATGAAACAATTTTGTTAATCTACATTTGGTCATTAACACACAGAGAGTTAAACATTTTCCTTATTAAATTTTTGCGTCATGAATATAGCCAATCTCTATAGCGTAGAAGAGCAGGCATTTATAATTCCTTGGTGTACCCCAAAGGCCTTCTAAATGCATTGCGCCTATAGGTCAACTGTAAGCTGTTCCTTTTGACGTTTGGTAACAGACCCAAGCGAAGTATTGCATGCATGTACAAATATATTTACTAATTCTCCTCGCCCTCTTTCTCCCTCCTCGCTCAAACTACGTTGGACGTACGGACAACCACGAGGAAAACGGTAGGCGCTGTATGATGAACATACGGGTAATAAATAAAAATGCCAATTCTTAACAAGAGCGTATCTGAAGAGATTTGTTTTCGTTCTTTCATTAAATGCCTCGTGGAGAGCAAAATATTGTCTTGAAATATTCACCTATATTCGTAGGGCGCATTACTTCGTTTCGGTATAGCACCACTCACGAAATATATCTCAATCAAACTAAATGCGTTCGCATAAAAACAGACCGGTATCAATTTTGTGGTTCGATTTCAAAATGGCGACGAGGAGATATCTCAGTTCTTAATAATATTGGTTAAACATTATGATTAAAACCCAAATTTTAGTGAGAGATTAGGCATATCAAAATTAGCGAAAAGCTAATGGCTTACGACAACTGCTACTCCCGTTTTGCAGTGCAATAACCTATTAAAACGTGCGACTTGAGACAATAATGTAATGGCTTCTTGATATACAAAAAAATACCGGCTGGAGAACGTATCCTAATTTCCTTGACCAGAATATTCCGAAGAGAAGATTTCTTTTATCCCAGGTATTTTCTTACAACCTTACAGTTATCATATCTAGGATATATAGCGTATTATCAGTCCAGGAGACGAACCTAATATTGGCCGGAGATTTGAGCGCCTGTAAGTAGCGATCGCAAAAGTTTACGGAACATGCAATGTAGCGCCCTATTTCAAACTGTAAAACTTTAAAGCGCACCTCTTTCCGCGAAAGATGGGAACACATTTGACAAGTTCAACGGCTGCAGCTGACGCAGACAACCGAGTTAATCGAGGGTAGCGTGCCTGGATTTTAGAGTGTTTCCAACTGGTTAATCGGAGTCACATGATGTATGAGCCAGGATTGAAATATCAAATTTGAAGAAAAAGGCAACAATGTCGATTCGCCTACAAGTGTCTCCACCTTCATTCGTTCTTCTATCAGCCCTCCCTTGGGCCCCATCACAACACGCGCACGCGCACGCGCACGCGTGCACGTTTTTCGTGAAGAAGGGACCAGCAAAAGAATGGAAACAGCTCTCTCAGATTTGAGGTGTACCCTCTTGGAAATCACGGCACTTTGAGTAGGGTGATCACTTGGTGCTAATTTTGTAAGAGGTCTTTAGGGTCTGCCACGCTTTTTACCGGGAGGTCATGTAACGTTTCGAGATAATCCTAAAATGTATCTGGGACCTTCATATATTTTTTTTTTCTTTTAAGCACGTGAGCCTTCAGGAACAATGCATTGGCAAAGCGGATTGGCCATTTTGGGTTGGGTGACTGCACCGTAAGGTCAGTCTCTCTTGGCTTGTCGTTCCAGGAATGGGTCTGACTTCAAACGGCAACTTTAGCAGCCTAATGTGCGCTTCGTAAGCAGGTCTTTTAGCGCACTGTTGCTCATTGCTTTGGTCCGCACGGAGATAGAAGCTGGTCCACCGGGTAAAAAAAAAAATAAATGCGGTGAGGATTTTACCGCTAGATCAGGCAAGCCAAAGACCTCCGAATTTACTCAATGGCGGCGAGTGTCGGTGTTGGGCTTGT